AATCCACATAGGTTGGTGCTGGATCTCACTATCTAGCATGGTGAAGATCACCTCTTCCCACAATAAAAATATGCACTGCACTTATGAGAGTAGTGAGTAATGAGAGCAGTTGACATGCCCCAGAATCACTAATCAATTAAGCAATATACATGGTGGTGTTAATAAGGTTGAAGTGATCTGGTGATATTTCACAACATTGCAAAAAAAAAATCATTATTTCTGAAGTAAATAACCTGCCTGTTTGTGTCATACTGGACAGAATATAATCTTTCCATCTGTTGTAAAGGTGCAGAAATCCATTAAGCCACTGCCAAATGAGTCTTGCTCTATAACTTGCTACTTGGGGCATTGCCTTCAACTGCCATACACAATTGAAATTGGTTCAGCTTGCTCAAGAGTTAAACAGCTTGTTTTTTTATTTTATTTTACATACAATACAATTCACACAAACACACAATTATAGTTAGGATAAATATATATTAGAAACATCAATTTAAATTATTTGAAATCAGGTTTTCACATTACAATTAAATTTATAAATCAAGCAATTTAGATCAGTCATCTAGTCAGATCTTCAACACATCTTCCATAATGGAACATAATAAAAAGTTTGTTCTCGCCTATGGAACACGAGTACAGTTCCAGCAGAACGCAGTCCATGGATGAATTTCACCCAAGGAAGTTTAGCACAATACCAGAGAATCTATAAACTTATTTATTAACTTATACAAAAAAGATCATAATATATCCCTATAAGATTGCAATGAGCTTATATTCAGATTAGCTGCAATAGGATTGTAATCATGAGTTAATGTAGGTGATGGCATGCCAAGTTGACAAGCAATAAAAGTAAAATACTTATGATGAACAGTTTCAAGTCTAGAGACATGGGTTCAATGAGGAGACAAAATCTGTGAACCATATAGCATAATAGGTGTCAGCGAGAAAAGGTATAAGATCTTAAGTGTTTGCGCATTAGTGAAGTCCGACGATAATGACGATGTCTTATAAAGCCCAGTATCCGATTAGTTTTATTAACAACATAATCACTTTGTACTGTCAAAAATCGTGCCCAAATCTATAAACTGTGAAACAGAGTTATCTCTAATGCAACTGCAATATAAAAAAATTATTGCACAGTACACGCAATAAGTTCAAAGATGCTATCTCTCAGACTATGACTTGTGGGTTTGGAAGGAGACTATAACAACTCACAGAATGCAGTTTTTCAAGAGATGCTGTTAAATGATTTAGAATATTCAATCGTGAGTATGTGATGTTTGGATAGAGTTGCTTGGTAGCAGTAATGCAAACACACTTGCCTTAATTTGTGATCTAAACAAACCCACCTTTGGGAGGTGTTGTATCCAATAAACAGAAATATATCATTTTTCATATTATTCTTCCCAAACAATGATTTCATAAAACAGTCATCTGAACCTAAAAAATTCTTGATTATGCTCATCCTTCACTAGATTTTGGAAGTTTATATAAATAACTTAGTTTGTTTGGACATGCAATGATGTTCATCTATAAAGTATTGCTACTATTTAAACAATGAAGTTGATAAATTGAAAAATTAGTGAAGACAATATTCAAGGTTCACTACTCTCATCGAAAGGTATATGAATAAAATGGTATAGTCGATATTTCTGAGGTCTGTTTTTAATCAGTGTAATGACCATTGGTAAAAGTTATTTTGGTGTATTATGTTGAAAGTAATTTCATTTCCAACAAACCTATAATCAAAATAGGAATAAACCTATTTTATCAAGAATGGAACAATAGTACTGCAGACATATGTTTGATTAGGCAGTTGATAGGTCAGTGAAATGATTTGAAAGGGTTGGAAATCTTGTGAAATTTGTATTTTAAAAAATTACTTCAAATTCACAAATAAACATCAAACTTTTTCAAAAGCATGGTTTGGTGTAATACGGGCATAAGTCTACTTGCTTGCCTACACTGAGCAACCATCACTTGTCATCGTCACCCAAAATGTATTCTCTTAAAACACAAGATGAGATATATATTTCTGAATCTGAACTAAGTTTCCAAAGCAATTAATTGAAAGAATTGAATTATGTTGAAGATTATTAGGAAATGATACGACTGTGTGAAGTTGAAGTTGAGAAAACGTAATGGAAAAATCAATCTTTGAGTTTGTTGGCCATTCTGAACTATGAAGGTACACATGAATATGATGCATTTAATTCAAAGTGTCTTTGATGCAATAATACGTTAGAAATAAATGTATCCAATTCTTAAGGCATCATCAAAATAAACAGGTTCTATGACACATGGAAATGGTCACAGGCAACAAGTTGAAACGTGCCCTGAATTTTTCCTAATTGTGAAGGAAAGTGTACGCCCAAAGTTTCAACTGCTCACATGCACTGGAATTATTTTGTTTAAAGTAGAAGGTGAATTTTATATAGCACAGGAGCTGAATATTGTGCAGCCCTAGAAATAGTAGTGCAGTGACATTGGTAACTTGAAACTTTTATCTCTTAAATAAAAATACCTCTGTACTTGATGCCTCTTCTGCTAAACTGTGGAAAAGGAGGGAAGGAATTCAGATGGGTGAAATCACTTGTTTGGTTCAGAAATTTTGATTGTATTATATTTTCATGAATGTATTATTAGTGTGTAGTTTAATTAGACAAATGTTTGTGTTAATTTTAAGGAAAATAGGACTTGCTCATTATTGTAGTTCCAATAGAGTATTACATAGCATAAGAGTTTCAATCTATTTCAAGAAACCAATTCCTGGCAGAAGGTAGCAACACCACTTGCTGCTCTTATAACCCGTAATTCAAATCATTCATGCAACATTAACAGAACATTTTTGAGGTTCTTTAAAAAATATTTTCCATGCATAAAAGCAGCTTAAATGTTGTGTGGGAATTTTCCTTTGCATGTACATTCGAATTTAAAAAAAATTCAGGGCATGTTTCAACATATTGCCTCTGATCACATTCTATTAGTTTTATATGTGATTGTTGCCAATGTGTTTGAAATACCTATGAAAATGATAGGTGAAGAAGTAAAAGCAACCAAGAGGAAAATGGAAAAACATTGTTTTTGGAGGGGGGGATGTTTCATGGTTTTCAATGAGAACGATGATGTAACATGAAACATGAATGTAAATGTGTTTTCAAATGCATTTGAAAGATTGTTTATTTGCATCTGTAGTTTTGTTGATCTAGCATTTCATGGATCGCTCTGATTCATTTCATGGATTTCACGTTCAGTAATAGAAAACTTCAGGAATCAATGCACACAGGATTCAGTGGTAAAATATCAACATTCAACATAAGAGATTAATGAAAAATTACAATGATTGCTGTATTGGAAAGTTGTTGAAATTGAAAGAGGACAACTGCTGTGCCTGTTGCTACATCTTCTGAATGCATTTTCGTAATATTAACTTACAAAGCAAAACTTACCAAATGTTTTGAATTGTACACATTTTTGAAAGCAGATTCGGGTTCAATTCCCAGCTAATCCTTGTGGAAATTGTGGTGAACAAAGCAAGTTCTTGACAGATTATTTTAGGGTCCTCCTGTTTCCCTTCCTCTCATTCACCCATCCTCCATCACATAGTTATCACTACTCGTGGGCTTCAATGGCATAAGAAGTTGAAAGGCCCCTAAACTCAAATGAATAAGTAAATAAATAATTTATAAATAAAATAAATACATATATAAATAAATAGAAACTTGTAAATCCTCACAAGCATTCACACATTTAATTTCTTCTTTGGCAGAATAGTCGATGTTTTGGCAATTCTTCAGTGTTTAATTACAAAAAAAAATTTGTGATGTCCATTTTATTACATGTAGATAAATTTTCAAGTACATCAAAATGTGATTTGTTAGAATATATTGTGGGGTTAGTCGTGTACTTTGTAAAATAAATTAGTAACTAAAGAAAAATGTGGGATATTTTATAAAACTTAAAATTTAATTTTCACCTACAGCTCCTTTAAAGCTCCCATCGAACCTACCTGTATCTCCGTTAAAAAAATTATTTGTATAAAATGTACCATAACGAATATTTTGCAATTCTTTTAATTACACCATTCTATAATTATTTTCAAGGCAGTAATTGAATATAGCGAATTTACCCAATATAGTAATCTAGAATGTTGAGTTATTCAATTGCATTTGGAGCAAGAGCTTGATCTGGAAATTTGTATAGATCGGTGGATGATAGATATGCAGCTATGTGCTCGCAATGATTGATGAATGCAATCATTTGTAGGGATGGGGGAACATAAAAGAGCCAAGATTTTTCACTATGCATCACACAAATTAAATCTGCTAGTTAATGACCAGGAATTCATAATATAATCTCCCTATCAAAGAATACATTCCACTCTTCCTAGCATACATGTTAAGAAAGAAATATGTCATTAAACTGTTCAGTGAAACGTGATGGATTCAAAAATACATGAAAAGTCTTTCAGTTTTGAATTATCATATTTAAGGGTTTCCAGATTAGAGGTCGATTTGGGTGATATTCAATAATTTTGTTAAAAAAACAACAAAAACCGCAGGAGCTCCTTCAGGCTGAGAGGCCAAGTTTGTCCAGGTTGATTATATTGACCATGACTTTTGCCATCATTACATAGTAAAATAATGTTTTGACCACAGAAAAACTGTCATTTGAACTCTTTTTGAAAAAATTATCATTGAAAGGAAATGATCGAACAAGAATAACTGCATTTCCATTCCATGCAAATGCTTTTTCTGTTGCTTCAATTTTTGATCACAAAATATTCTTCTCTTCTAAAATCTAAATGTATAACAAGTCTAGAAGCACAAGGGCTTGGTCCAATATATTAAATTTTATTTATCATCATCATCATCATCATCACTACTGCTACTGCTTCCCCCTGACTCGTGCAAATGTAATGAAGATAGTTTTTTGTAAATTACCAATTCATTGTTGTTGCTCTGTGAAAATTAATTTAATAAATGTTGTTGTTTTTTTAGATGCTGAGAGCGGAAATGGAAGAATTGCGTCAGCAAGAAGCAAATCTAACTGCCTTACAAGCAATAGGTCCACGGAAAAAACCGAAATTGGAGGTTGGTAGTGGGGGCACAAACTCAGGGCAGGTTAGTTTTTCCTTCATTTTTACACTTAAGATTTATTCATTGCAAGTGTTTTTCTAAACCAAAAGAAATGCTGATTATTTTAAATGTTTTTTTTATGTTTTGCAGACTGGACTTGGAAATCCAATTGGTCTGGGATCGTCTGTTGGAGGGCGCACTATGGTAAATTCATTATTTTAGCTGTACAAAATATATGGCTTCACTTATCTTGTATGCTTATTAAAATTAAATGTGAAATTTAAATTTCTCTCTTCTATTTATAGGTTCCAATTCGACCACGACTCAAGAGAGTTAATATAAGGGACTTGCTTTTTCTGTTGGAACAAGAAAAGGAGACTTGCAGATCTGCACTGTTATACAGAGCATATCTTAAGTGATGATTGTTTTCATTTCAGAGTGTTTTGGTTCTGTTTCTTACTGTGGATATGTGTGTGTACGTGAAGCGAGCTCTGGGCTCCACAAGGGAATATTTTGCCCTGTGTCTCTTAATGAGACACTCTCCAGTCAGGCTCAGGGTATCAGTGTTTCTATCGTATTAAGTCACATACCAGAGAACTCTCATTTCACATATAAGTGAAAGAACAATGTGAATTTATGAACAGTGGAAAGTTGGAGAAAATTCTTCATATGTAAATATGTGTATAAAAACAAAAGGTGTAATTGTGCAACACCTCTGAAAATAAGTGATAAAAATTGACTCTTCCTGCTCCCAGGCAGTTATACCTTTGCTTTATAAGTTGCCATTGTACCAATTTATTGCCGTTTTATAAAGTATATGTAAGTTGTATATATTACAGATGAGTAAATGAAGTGAAATTCATATTGTAACTGAATTTAAGGGAAACTTTAAATTTTTGAAATTTATTTTCAACTCTTGTTGTGAAAGTCTTATGTTTACAAAATATATTAGACCACCATCAGTGAATCCAGAAATGTGGTTCAATTGTATTTTCACTCCATTAAATTAAATGCATTGAATCCAGTGTACTTGTATGCATTAAATGGATATTGTTGGCAAACAGTATGAGTGAATGAGTTGTGCTTTTTTATGAAAGAGGAATGCTTTTCACTTTTTATTGGTCTCTTGCATTACTGGTGTGCAATACATTATGTTGTAACAACAACATTCCATTTTTTAAACTTTGTATACAAATGAAGGGTTGGCTGGTGCTGAAATACAATATTTCTCTCCCTTCATTGTTTGAATTGAACCATATTCTAATGGTTTCACTCAAATTCAATCACGAAAGTTGATCAAGGAATCATTGAACTCTGTTATAAGTTCAGTTATTGCGCAAATTCTGTATGTTTGTATATTCCTCTTCTGTAGAATATTTGTGCACAATATCTTAAGTATGAACATTATTAGCAGAGCTTTGTATGTTAATTTGTGCTTTATACACAGATGTAAATTTTCTGTGTATTATTATGGTGTCTAAAGACAATGAGGTTATAACATGTCCATTTAAATCTGCAATAATATGCTTTTTGAATATAATGGCTGCTGCAATTGTACATTTCATTAATTTATTGCTGCTGCTTTCTGTTCTTGTCATTCATTATTTTTCATGTAATTCACCAATCAAGTGTACCTGAGCCATTTGTTATTATTATTAAGTTGCAATTTAAAAAAAATTTTACAGATCTGGCTCTTTCGCTGCGCATAGTGTTCTTGCATTTTTCATTCAGGCCTGGGAGAGGAAATGAATTCTAAATGTAGTTAAATGCAAGATGTTAACACGTGAAAGATTGTGTTCAGTGGAAGTGAGATTTATGAAAATTTATAAGTGCTGTATCAGATATAAATGTTCATAAAGCTGGACCTTTTATAAGTGATGTATATTGTTATTTGCAAGATGTTTTTAAAAGAATTCGATATTTTCAAATATGGGTTATGTAGTGTAATATTTTTAATATATATAAATTTAATTTTCAGAGTTTTGTTAATATTTATATGACAATTAAAAAGTAACTTAATTATTCTTTTTGTCTTAAATGTGTCAGATATTACACAGCAACATCAATGTCCATAATTAATTCTCTTTTGCTACATTTTCAGGTTTAGTGATTTCATCATATTTCGAAACAATTAAAAGGCAGCTTTTTGATTCCCTCTCATTCCATTGTTCAGTTAAATGTGCAAGCATCAAAGAAAATCATTGAAATGCACTGTTTATATACCAATAGATAAAATTGTGTGATTGTTAATGTTGCAATAGCTTGAATCTGACCATTTTTTGAGAACACCAAAAGTCTTCAGACTTGTGTAATGTTATATTTTAGCAGAGTCTAATGTATTTTTGATGCTTATCCTGACTACTAAAAGAAAAGAAAGGATTTTAGCATGAGATTCTGAAGATGTGATAATTTCAACTTCAAACAGTGATAAATCTTATATGTTGTATTGCTGTTAAAATGAATTCGAAATATACAATGATACAAAGGATGCGAATGTATTTCAAGTGTTTTGGAACTTGTGCAGTGATTGCCTCTCATTTTGTTTCTTAGAGATTTAGTTACCAATTAGGGTTTGTGCTAAATGTCAAGAAGCAGTATTATAATGTTGTTTTCTTTTTTCAATACAATGAAGTCTAATTACATGAAATACATGTGTGTGGAATCACCGCAGCTTTATTATTAAATCTTAAATGTTTTCAAATTTTGGAGCCTGTGGTCACAGTATTGTCAAAAAATCTTATCTCCGTATTATCTGTGTAATTATGTGCAGTCCTGTTTCCTGTACATCTTTCTTTTACAACATGCATTCTTTAAATAGGTAGTTAGTTTGAGTTTTCTATAATCGTAGGAGTATCCAAAATAGGTAAAATTAGACATAACATTTAAACAATTATAGCTGTGCAATGGAGATTCTGATTTTAAATTTCGTTTCCAAGAAAAGATTCATTCTTACTAAAAGAAATCATTTATCTATGTATTTCAACAATTCTGTTGTGCGAGTTGTTTATAAAACTTACATCATATCTATATAATCAAGGTTGCTGATCTCTATTTGTTCGCTTGACTGATGTGTTTGAATAATTATTTGTCTCTGGTCTTTCATAAATCATCAACTATTTTCTTGTAAATTTCTCTATACATGCAAGCTTAATTATATTACATGTGGGCATATCAGTTAGAATATGATCTTTCATATTGAAGATGCGAGAGTGAAAATATTGTTCTCGTAGGTTTCCATGACTAGGCAAGTTCTCTGCTATACAGCTGATTTTTTTGCATTGGGCCAAGAGAGGATCAATATGTAATTGCTGATGATGTGGTATTTGGCTAACGTTCAATTAAGTTATCAGCATGAAAAATGCAACATTGATCTTTTGTTTTGAACCAATTCAATAACACCCAGACAATCATGATCTCATTTAGTTTGAGAACGTTCAGCTTCTTACAAAGTCATTATTGTTTAGAATTAGAACCTGTGAATATTGTAATATATTAGTTAAAAAGCAAGAACGTATTTTTATACTGCCATTGTCTCTGTGTAGAGTAGCATCTGTGTTATAAGTTGAACATGTTAAGTGATAGAAATAGATTTCTTAAGAAGTATGGAGCTTATTTTTATAATTTCTTTTCAGAATCAAATGTTATTGTTAATTTTATAATAATGAATTGGTATTCTCACTGTACAAGTGGGTACTAATAAAGTAAATTAAAATAAAATACCCCAGGTTTTAATGAAATTTTAAACTTCTGATTTATTTTTCCTATTGGTAATGTAATAGAATAATGTTATTGTAGTATTAAGTGTTTAGAGACTAATTTTTCACTGCATTTACTTGAACTTATTTGGCACATACCCTAATAGTTTCAATAATTGCTGGGTCATTTTCTTCTTTGTTACAATATGATAAAAATGGTTGAGTGGATTTTTTGTTTTTAAATTGCAGGTTTTTTTAAAAAATGAATGCAAAATTTAAATATTTTTATTTCAAACTGGTATGTCCTGCTTTTCAATGCAAGATCTATAGGAAGGAAAGAAAACTAATTTAATGCCAAAACCATTAATGGATTGATGCTTGCACATAGTTGGTCATGCTTCCAAGGAACTAGGGAGGAGAAAAGAAAGAGCCTCAAAATTTCAGTTTGTTCTTTATACCTTTTTTCTTGTCAAAATTAATTATGAGCTTGTCTAAATTATTGTGTATAATAGTATTGTGTTATTGGACATTTCGTGTTTTAACCAATATTCTTTTGTTCAGTATTTGATTAAGACTAAGGAATAATAAAGTACAAAGAATAAAATGAATTAATACAGAATGCTAGTCCTTTTGTCTGTTGGTTTGCAGAAAGTCTTCATATTATTCATCTGCATTACATTAATACTTATTCCTCTTAATTTCCTGCAGTTGTTAATGCAGCAATAGGTGTGTTTTATAAATTGTCCTCATCTTGATGTGCTGTGAATAATTTACAATACGCGTGAATGAACTCGCAGAAGATGGTACAGAAGTTTGTGTCAGCAAATGCAATATGTACACTACTTATAAAATGAACTGTCATTAAATATTTAATGACTAACTTTCGTTATCGGCATTGCCTACCCAAGTGCAATTGTGTCTGCTGGTTTTTCTCAGCAAGACTTTTATCACAACTTGACTGTTAAATCCACGCAATAAGCCTATTGTGTGAAGCAGTTAGTCACTTGTGAGTGCCTATGACACCGGTTATCAACTGTTGCTAAGAAAACAGGAGGGACTGGTTTTGAGTGTGTGTGCGAATGTATGCGCGAGTGACAGTGAGTGTGAGTTTTTTATCATGCCATAGCTTACTGAATGGTGAGTCAAAATGTAGCAAGAGTTACATGCATTTGTTTCACAGATGAAATTTTATTAATAAGAATATATCAATTTGCAGTAACGGAAAATATACCTTCATCCTTGGGATTTTTTTTTTATTATTATTTTTATTTTTGTAAATTTCCCATAGCATGAAGATCTAAAACGTTTTGCACATTGACTAAAGATAACCATTCTTGTATAGGAATCTTGATAGCCACATGTATATAGTTAATTGTAAATACTGAACTATGTATCCAGTAGTTGATTAATGCTAGATGAATTGTTATTTTATATATTTCAAGGGGGCCATTTTCTTAAAACTGGTTATGTTTTAATAATGGTGATATTGGATTTTTTGTGTACTTGGCTTCTTAAACAATAATTGTCTCTTCCTTAAAGAATCATATTCATCTCTAATCTGCCCTACTAATGCAACACATTTTGAATATTTGCACTATTGCACTGCTGCTCGTCAACAGTATGAAAATGTTACATTTTATTATACTTGTTTGTTTGGGCGACATCATTATAATGCTTTTTAATGTTCATTTGATATTAACTGTGATATGTATGTTTAACTGTTTGTCAATGCTGTCCTTTTTCACTGGCATCACTAGAACAATACATGAGACTATGCACATTGTGAATTTCGAAAACTAGAGGCTGTTTCTAACGAATAGCTTCAAATGGAGGTCACAATTCTGCACTGCAGATCAAATCATTTTCTAGCTCCACACTTTCGTGATACTTGGAATCACAGCTGAACTCAGCACTACATGTTTTGCCCCAATAATTCAACTTTTAAGGTTTCTGAACAGGCTGGGCTGATCCAGGTGAAGCTGAGTATCAAGTGAATGGTCTTGACTAATTCACTATACTGTGCTCATTGTGAATTTGTTTTATTTCATCCACAGGTTTTCACATCCATTTATAGTTTCATTTGTAGTGCAAACAAACAGACTCCATTCACTGTGTACTAATTGATACAGCTCAATGGCAAATTTGGAAATGAAACCTTTGCATAAGCAGTGTTAGTTATTGGACAGTTTTATTATTATTATTATTATTATTATTATTATTAATAATTTATGTTTTCTTTTAACTTTTAAAAATATTTAATTCTTATATATTTCTTAATTTATTTACTGTAAAAGTCTCTGAAATTGTTTCATCATGCAATTTGAATATTTTAAATAATATATCCATTTTGACTACTTGTCTTTAACGAAAAGAAAATATGTGCAAGATTAATTAATTAAATATGAATTGACAAAGACTCCCACACAAAAAAAGGAACATGTTTTTGAGGGAAAAATTGATAAAACTAGAAAATGTCCTTCAATTAATTGTGATGCAATAACAATTATAATTTATAGAATAAGGGATTTTTAGTTCCTCATATGATTATCTTTACATTATATGTTTTGCTCATCGCATCATTCAGCCCAGGTAATTGCTTGGTGAAACAATTGAATGCTGCATACCGTTTTGAGCTGAGTAATTATGTGCATAAACTGTCTTCTATTCTAAACATATTTCTCTTCATGTACTATTTAGGATGAGACAAATTCATGTGAAATTATTTCTTGGAGAGTGTTTGTAACTCTTGATAATTTAATATATCTCCTACTACCTCATTATGTCTTCCAACTTTTTAGTACATTGTTTAAATTTAATTTTATTTGTTGCTGAAGGGCAATCGTTTACTTGTACTTCATTGTAATAACTTTTTTCTCAAGAATATCTTTCCCTAAAGTGTATTTGATATATGCAGGTACCCGGGTCTAATACCCATTTCATTGATGTAAATAATAAAAATCACAAATAACAGAACTAATATACAAGGGAAAGAAAATTAGAAATTATGATAGTATTTCAGTTGTGACAGTTATGGCTTCAGTAATAACAATTTTACAAATCTTACATGTATTTTTCCTCATGAATATCAACTAATAGACTCGTAATTGCTCATGAATATCAACTGACATTTGCTTCAATTAGTATTGAAGGTACTTACTTTTATCTGATTTGCTGAAACTATTCAATTTTGGGAGAGTGTTTTACTTCCATTACATTCACTTGTGTTTCTGTACTCAAACATTACCACCTATTTTAATTTTAAAGATGATTACATAAATTTATACGGATTACCATAACGAACTAAATTTTTAATCTGAACGATAAATTTCATGAATGAACAAATTTATTAATAAGTTCAAAGATCATAATATATCTTCATATAAGTTCATGAGTAATGTAATTAGATGACATTAAGTTATTTTATGTGTCTTTAATTCAAATAACTAATGACCAGATAATGGTATGATTTTGCCTCGTACATACGCCTTAAAAACATTTTTATATTAATTGGTACAAATATGAAATACGTTAGTGCTGCTTCATTTCTAAATATTATTGCTTTATATATTTGAGGTAAATTCATTATAAAAAATGAGGGACTGTTTCTTATTTGTGTGAATATGTTGTATTATAGTACAAAATTACAATTAATATGAGGAAAATATTACACTTTTCATCATACGTGAATATCCTGAATGAATAACAAAGTTCTCTCTGCAAACATGTCACTAAACACTAATTCAAGGAAGTTATATTGCATCTTATTTTCTCAGCATTCAATTAAAGTAATTATTATTTATAAATAATATGGAGAAGATAATTCTAATTTTACATTTCCTCATTTCTACATGAAATGAAGAAATGATTAAGAACTAGATGTAATGTATTATTTGATTAAGATAAAAAGTATTTCCTCTATAAACAGTATGTGTGTGCAGCTTTAATGGAAAATTCTTGATTTGATTTTATCACGGTTCATTTGAATTTCTACAGCTTGTATTTGTTTTTTGTGTATATTTTATTTACTTTGAATTTTGATTATTAATACTACCTATTATTAATTATCACCCCCTGAGAGTTGCTGATGTGGACTCCTATTTTACAAACACTGAATATACTGCTAATACAATTTGAACATTTCCAACACTTAAGGATAGGAGGTAATTTAGGTGTGTAGTACAAAAATTGATGTATTGAATTATAAAAACTATTGTGGTAAAGTAGTGCTTTTTCCAAAAAAGCAATTCTTCCAAAACAGCTGTGACAAATGGTGAGATTTATAGACTAGTATAATAGTTATAATACTTTCTGCTCAACAGTTATTTGTGCAACTGATTGATGAGATTTCTTATATATATTGTTTTTATAAATTTTCATTGAAGAAAAATTTGAAGAACAATACATTGGTTTTGGAAATTCTGTTTAGAGCAAACGAGTATAATTTGTGTAATTTTTCAGACTCAAAGCAGATTGAGTGAAATAAATCTTTATCTGAATAGGGAGCAATGATATATTACAGAGACATCAAAAATCCATCAAAGAATAATGATATCAGTTGGTGATGAGCAGTTAAGTCAGTGCAAGTATTCAAGTGTTCATAATATAATAAGTCAGTATCATGCAGTAAGAATTGTTGATTGAATTTCATAGTTTCGTATTAATGCACTCTGTTTGAATTTGAGTGTATGCCATAGCCAGTGATATTTACTCCAAGTTAGTGGTTAGATGAAGAAGATTGTTATTTTGTCAACATTTTTATACATATGTGTTGAACAACACTGGTTAACTGCTATGCTATAGTATTATTTTTTATGCAATCATCTGAATGAAGTGAAACAACAGTGCATTATGTCAATTATTTCCTGTGAGCCAAGTTATACTTGCTGTGTTTTATAGATTTTTATGTTTGCTTTTCAAATAATCTTAAAGTTCATAAGAATGATACTATACATTTTGTTACATTTCCTTTTCACATTGTTAGTTCCGAAGAAAGGTTCGGACTTAAGTAACTCTGTGCAATTTTATATTTTCATCTCACTAGATTGTGTTTAATTATTTTCTGTAGAGATGTGAGGCTGCTATGAACTGTCTTTGATACGTGGGCGAGTGTGGCTCTGGCTACTGGTACAAGTACAGTAACTTTTAATACCAAAGTGAATGCCAAATGTAGTTTTATTATGTTGTGTATATTGCTTAATTTATCACTGTTGCCTTTGAATAAATTATTTTTTTAGATTAGTGCCACATCAGCAATTATAACTTGGGCAAATGGCTTCTGGATTAATTTATAACATACCACAGTTTAAGAGGCTCAACAATAAAATTTGTTACACTGGAATGAATGTATTCTTAACTACATTATAATGCAGATCATATAAATTTTATAGACCTAATACATTTACCTGTTTTACCAAGAAAGTATTTATCCCATCCATTATATGCTTATTACTTGACCGTGTACTGATTTCAGAAAGTAATCTAAAAAATCCTGATAGTTGCTATCGATTATGGTTTGCAGCAATTGTTTTATAAAGTGAAAAGTATTTGCCTTCTTCAGTTTTGAAAAGCATTTTTACCATCGAGGAAGAAATTGTGCTACTCGTGCACCCAATGCATTTTTAAAGACTTTTTCCCATTAGTTATTGTTAATTGTGTTGTTAAGAAATTTGATTGAAAGCGCTCCTTGTAAACATAACTTTTGTAGATAACACACCCCTTTCACATTTCTAGTGGCATAAAAAAACTTTGCATAATTTTATTTTCTCTAAGACTACTTTATGAGTCATAGTTCTGTTGGAAGGATGACCTGCCACTGTCTTGGTGGCTAGAACTGAAGCATTTATGCTAATCAAGAAAACCCATGTCTTATTTGTGTGCAATTCAATGCTTAGCAAAGTCTTCTTTGAGTTACTTGGATAAGATGTTTGGCATCATCTTTGGAGCCCAAAATCAAGCTGTCATGTAGGCCATTGAGAAACCCTACTTACTACCCCATAGGTTGTTGCTAGAAGTATTCTTTGCATCGTTTCAAAATTGTTATTAAGTATAGTTAAAATGTGAAGTTTAAAAACATCTTGATTTATTTACTTTATGTCCATTTACCAAATATATGATAGATATTCCTACTGCTAGTTTACTAGAATCATGTGAATATTTTTAGAAATTTGTACCAAAAATTGACAATTTATGTTAAACCAGTGGCCAGTTGCAGCAAAACTGCTTGCTGAACAAAAACACACAAAATGGTTTTTCAAAAAGTAACAAACA